GGAGGGGGGAGCCCTGACTGCTTTGAGGAGCCTCAGCCCCCTCTCTCCTCTTGCTCGGGGCAGGCCCATAGGCCAGGGGATGCTCTGGGACATCGTGCTCCTGCCCGTGTGCCGCTTGTGCCTTTTGAGATGATGGTCGCTCTAGGGATACGGGAGACTTCCTCTGAAGGGCTGAGAATTTACAAAACAAATATCCACCCAGAACCCCTCCCCCTGCTCCCACTTTCCTATTTGCATTTAAAGACAATCTCTGATGCCTGGGTTCAGTGTCCAGCCAGAGCAGGGGTGGGCAGAATACAGCCCTCCAGCTAGATTTGGCCTCCCACGTATTTTCCTCTGTCCTGCCATGACCCTCTGGGCTGGGGTCTGGAGGAAAATATCCCATGATGCAGCAGGGCGCTCAGGCAGCCTGCCGTGGCCCCAGCCAAGCTGCTCTCCAGCGTGTCTCATGCATGCTCCTTGGTTGGTGGGGGCCGCAGTTCTCCTCACCCTCAGCCCTTTTGTCACAGTTCCCTTTGGCTGGAAAGCAGCCCATGGGAGCTGCAGGGGTGGTGCTAGTGGGCGGGGTGCAGTGCTGCCCCTCTTCCCCCAGGGGGCGCACAGACAGGCTCACCCCAGCAGCTGGCAGTGTGAGGCCAGCATGGCACCTAAGCTACTGGCCTGAGTGGCCCACTATGCCGCTGGTAACCCTGCAACCCAAGCCCTGCCCCAGGTCACAACCAGCTTCTTCACCCAAACGCCGTCAAGGCCCCATTCCTCATTAATATAACAGAAAAGTGCGGCCTGTGACCAATATTCTTGGAGTGGCCCCCTCCTTGCAAAAATTGTCCACCCCGACTCAGAGTCACTGCAAGCCAAAAAGAGGGGATAGTCAGTGTGTCCGGTTCGGGTTCTAGACACCCCAAAATGGTTCTGTTAGCAGGCAGTGCCCCAGAAGTGGGTTGGGAGGGAGCCCAGTGGCTTGCTTCAGCGGAGAATTGAATTTGGGGCATGGGGGTCTGCTTCAGGTGGGACGACAGAAGGCTGGAGCTGCGGGGATGAGAGAGAGGAGGCTCGTCTAAGGGGAACAAGAATTGAGCAGCCTTTTTCCTTGAGCTGGAAGAGTTATTGTTAATTTCTGGGACCAGAGAACCCCCTCTCCCCATGTCTTCTGTCCCAGCTCCCTCCCTCATCCTGCGGGCTACCCCTTCTCTTCTTCTGCTGGGGCAATCACATGTCTGGCAGGGATGTGAAAATCTAACCATGTAAACAGTTAACATTCACAGCTACACGCAGGTTCCCGGTATGCATGAGGAGCTGGTTTAAAAGCCGGCTCCCCGCACACTGGCTCCCAGGGAGCCATCAGCTGTCCCATGCTACTTCCTTTCATACAGAGGCAACAGCAGGAGGCAGGGGAGTGAGGAAAGCAGGAGCCAGTATGCAGGGGGAGCTGGCTTAAAAGCCGGCTCCCTGTTCACACCGGCTTCCAGGGAGCCATCTGCTGCCCCATGCTGCTGCCTTTGATACAGAGGCAGTTGGGGGGGAGAGGGGGAAGAGGGGGAGGGCAAGCAGGAGCCGGTATGTAGGGAGAGCTGGTTTAAAAGTGTGTAACTGCTGAAATGTTCAGCGGTTACATGGTTACTTAAGTACACACATTTTAACATTCCTG